TCGGCGGGAAGCCTGCTTCTCCCTCTCCCACTCCCCCTGCTTGTGTTCCCTCTCTCGCTCTCTGTCAAATAAATAAATAAAATCTTTAAAAAAAAAAAATTTTATAGGCTTGGGAGGGGGGATTGGTTAGCCCAGTGATGGGTATTAAGGAGGGCACGTACTACATGGAGCACTGGGTGTTATACGAACACAATGGATCGTGGTCTCTACATCAAAAACCAACGATGTATTGTATGGTGACTAACATAATAAAATTAAAAAAAAAAAAAATTCTATAGGCTTTTCTGTGGAAACAATTGCTTACCCAGAATGAGGATTCAGGGGGCAGCAGTGCCCCCTCCTCGTTGACCAAAGCCAGCCCTCAGGCCATGCTTGGCCCAGAGGAGGGCGGCCCTCGAGCCAAGCCACAGGGGCTGCTAGGCCGTCCCCGCCACGTGCCCGCTGTAGGGGGCAGGGCCGTGGGCTGCTCAGCCATCCAGTGCACCAAGTCCAGGCCTGCAGTCAAGGACCCTGTGCTCCCCCTGGCTTCAAGTCAAGGCACAGAACCGGCGTGCTGAGGTCAGGAGCCTCAGGCCAGGGCACGCACACATGGGAAGGATGCGGTCCCGCCTGCGCTTGCACAGAGAGCGAGAGCCACCGAGAAGCTCCTGTCACTGCCCACAGCCGCACCTTCACATGGGCAACAGACGCATCCAAAGGCAGGCCCCGGGACAGCCATTGAAACCCTGCCACGTCCTGCCCTGAGTCTCCGCCACTGTGCTTTGCCCAGGCCCGCTCTGAGAAGGCTTGTGTCCATGTGAAACCACCTCAAGATAAGGGAACATTCGGGGTCTCCAGCTACGAACCTGACAGGATGTGCCTACTTCCCACAACCAGCAACATGCTTCCCAGAGCGGACCCCCCACCCCTGGGCAGCAAAGCACATGAGGGTGCACGGGACATCTGGGCACACACGTGGTGCCCAGCAGCGCTTGGGGCCTCTGCATCCCCAGCCGTCCCCAGAGCCCGACGGCCCGCGCCCGCCTCCCACACGCATGGCAGCAGCCTACCCACAGCCTGTCCTCCAGCACTCAAGGGTTACATCCACACTTCCAGAAGCGTTTTTAAGTGTCCTGCTCCCTTGCGTTTATACACTAACCACAAATACCCACGAGTGCCCATCCCACTTGTAGGAGACATCAAGTTGAACACGCTGTGCCCCAGAGAAACCCACGGGTCTCGCCCAAAACATCAGTCACCAAACCCAGCCACTTAGCCCTTAACAGCTCAACTGCTGCTTCTACCCCTTTGTACGTTTAAGACAACGGAGTTTCCCAGATACCTGCTGATACAGTAAAAGGTACGCATTTAGCCTTTGCCCACTCCTGGTTCCCACCATCTAAAACCCTTGGAACTTCCTGAGTGCTGGGCTGAGGGGTGTCTTTTGTGATTCATAACGAATCCCATTCAACCACACCTGGGTTTATGCTAATGTAACCCCTGGGGGCCCCTAGCGGGCCTCAGGATAGGGCAGTGGACAGAATGACCACACCGGGCTTAGTGGGTCGGACTTTAAGTCCCCCACCCCCACACCCCTTCCAGGGACAGGGAGGGGATGGAGAGGCGGTCAATCTCAGTGGCCAGCGAGCTCATCAGTCGCACCTGGGTAGTGGAACCTCCATGAATTCCCTGCCCGGGGGCTGGGGGGGATCTGGAGGGCTCCCAGGTTGGGGAGCACGTCTGGGTGCTGGGCGGGGTGGGGAGCTCTGCGCCCCTTGCCCCATACCTTGCTTGCCCTGCGCATCTCTTCCGTCCGGATGGTCCCGAGTTGTGTCCTTCATGATAAATGGGTCACGAGTTAGTATAAGGTGCTTCCCGCAGTTCTGTGAGCCGTTCTAGCCAATTATGGAACCCGAGGAGGGGGTCGTGGGAACCCCGATTTGTAGATGGTGGGTGGGAGGTACGGGAGGCGTCTGAAGCAGGGGTGGTCTTGTGAGGCTGCAGGGTCTGCACTCAGGGCAGGTAGTGTCAGAATGGCGCCAGCTGTCAGACACTCCCCGGCTTCTGCAGAGCCGCAGACCCGTGGGCGGAAGACTGCACGCTGGGCGCCAGAGACGGTCTAAGTAGAAAGCATCACGCTGAGATGCCCTCTGTTTCCAGAGGCGGCTGGGAGCTGGAGAAGGACAGGGCTGCAGCCCGACCGAGGTCTGGGCTGGGTGCTGGCCTCCATCCCCCAGGTCACCCTCAGAAGTGTCCATCAGCTATCACAATTGCTAATAACGTCTCTATGCTCATACGTTTGATGATTCACAACATCAGGAATAAAAGAGACAGCTACAAACGCACCAGAGTAAACATTTTAAAAGTTCTCTAAGAGATACAATGGGCAACTCTGTGCCCCAAGCTGACACCTTAAATGCAATGCCATTTCCCAGAAAAGGGTAACTTCAGGAAGCCCTGGTAGATTGCCCCAGAGACACTGAGTGTGCAGGTCTGCTCACCTCCACACACATCCCAGGCCGAGATGGTGTCCCGGTGAGCCCCCAGCAAACCTCACACGTGATGGCTTGGGAGTGGCTCATCTGGCCTGTTGAGCCTGCGGGTGACACAGCCCATGGAGCACGAGCGTGCAGGGGACCCTGAGCAGAGCCGCCAGCTGAGCTGCTCCGGGATGCCTGATCCGTGGAAGCCATGTGGGCTAAATGTGGGCTGTGATGCAGCAACTCTGGTGGGGTGCCAGGCGAAGCAAGGCACCAGCCCGGTGAGGCTGGGGACCCGGGCAGAGGGGCTGTCAGATGCTGGGGCAGGCTCAGGGGACCTCGAGGATCCAGGCGCAGAGGGCACCCAACAATACATCAACAACGAGGGAAAACGTTTTAGAAAGACAAGCAGGGCACCTGGGTGGCTCAGCTGGTTGAGTGTCCGACTCTTGGTTTCGGCTCAGGTCAGGACCTCGGGGTAAGAGATCGAGCCCCACGGCAGGCTCTTCGTTCAGCTTGAGATTCTCTCTCCCTCGCCCTCTGCCCCTCCCCCAACCCACGCCCATGCCGCTCATGTGCTCGCGCTCGCTTGCTCTCGCTCCAAAAAAAGACAAGCAGGCTTCCCATCTCCTGGGCTCCTTCCCTTGGGGCTGCCGGTGCGAGCGCCCCGCCCGACTCTGCACCCTGCCCTTCTGCGTCTGGCCGGCCTGCCCGCCTGACTGCTGGACCCCGTTCACTGGCCTGTCCCGCACCCCGGCTTGCCGACTCTGCCCCACGGCCTCCCATACAGAAAGGTGGTCACGGCCGTCCCACGCCAGGGAGGGCAGGGGACCCGAGAGCCACGGGGACTCGTGCGGCCAGGATCCCGAGATGTCTGCCTGCACAGGAACGTGCATATGCACCTGCATGCGCACACACGCCCGGGGCTCAGGACGGCTCACCCCCGCCCAGGCGGGAGGTAACACGGCCGGGGTGCTGGGGACGCTGCAGCCTCAGGCCCAGCCAGGCCCAGAGCGCCCTCCCAGGGAGCTGGGCTCCCGCCGAGGGGCGCAGACCACCGAGGCCGGGGTGGGCCCATCTGGCCGCAGAGCCGCCCCGTGCCGCGGAGGGGCGCCCGCGAGGTGAGCGCAGCAGCAACAAGGCGGGCCTCACCCGTTTCATTTTCAGAAAGTCCAAGGACGGGCGCGGCCAGTGGGCGCTCTCCTCACGCCTGCGCTTGCGCCGACACTTCCTCCCGACCAGCACACAAGGCTGTGAGCGGCACCGGAGCAGGCCCAGCCGCCGGCCCAGCTCGGGCGTGGACGAGGCGCTGCTGCCGGTGGAGGGCGGGGCTGTGCCCACTTGCACCAGGTGCTCCTGCGACAGGGACAGGCGGCGCCTGCAGGACAGAGCGCAGGGCCCTGCGGGTCGCCAGGGTGGGCCCGAGCCGCCCTCGCTGCAGTCCGGGCAGCCGCCGCCGGCTGAAGGCAGCCGGGGCGCGGGGGACGAGGTGGGGCCGGCCACCAGGGGGGCGCAGCCCAGCAGCGTGGCGCTCCCGGGCAGGCTGGCGCGCCCGCCACTGTGGCCCCGCCTCTTGGATACCGGCGTCCAGACCTTGGAGCCACCGGGGCGCCAGGCGGAGCAGCAGCGTGCCAGCTCGTCCGGCTCCGACAGGGAGCGGCAGTGGCGCTTGGCAGGGGGTGCCGAGGGGGGCCCTGCGCTCTCCCTGAGGTCTGTGGCGCTCACGGCACCCAGGCCTGTGTCTGGGCCGCGCGGGCCCGTGGCCGTCTGACTCCCGACGGGCCATCCTCCACTTAAGACCTTCCAGGGGCGCCTGTCTTCTGAGGAAACACAAAAGAGAAGAGACGGGTGAGCAGGAGACAAGGCACAGTGTTTGCCAGGCCCCGAGGCCCCTGCCTGGCTGGGGACACGGCCTGACACTAAGCCTCACGTGGCTCCTCGGCCACAGACCCGGTCAGCGCCGGCCCCGCCTGCATCCCCCCTGGTCAGCGCAGCCCAGGAGCCAGCCTCACTTTCTAAGGAAGACACGTCTCAGCGAGGCCAGCTCCCCACTCCCTGAAGATGACCGGAGCACACCGTTCTCCTTTCCGGTTCACGGACAGACTTGCCCTGCGTCACCCACTTCTCTGTCCGTGGCCCAGGCCTCCTCCAGGTATGCGACCTCACCCGCGAGACGCCCGCCCACCAGGCAGCTGCTTCCAGGTGGCCGGCGCCCCTCACCTCCTCTCTGGGAGGCAGCTCTCAGCTTCCCGAAATTGGAGGCACAGCGACGGCACACGGCAGGCAGGGACCGTGCACGGGGCCAGGACCCCACCCCCAGCCTCCACTTCCTCCCGTCACGTGGCTACTGGGAGGCTCACACGAGACACTGACAGCCCGGGGCCAGCACGCGCACCCGCAGACCCACATGTGAGCGCACACCATGCAAGCACCAGGGGCTCCCTCTGCCGGCCTGCCCCCAATGCCCCGGGAGGAGCCCACCCCAGCCCTTCCTCAGACTCTCCTCCACACACGCCTTGGGTGCCCAGACCCCGAATGCACCCATCAGGGCCGCCATCACGAGCTTTGCTGCACTGGGGGCTGGGGTGGAGCCAGGTGAGTGGGTCTCCTGGGACTCCTCGTGTGGCAGCAAGGTGCACCATGAAACCCTGACTCCCACTGACCCGGCTGAGAGTCCGCTCAGCAGCCCCCACGACTCCGGCCACTCCGCAGTCACCACCGGTTGGGAAACTGGGCATGGAGGCAGTGGGACCCAAGGGAAGAGGACCCCTGTGGGGAAAGGCACGAGCAAAGGCCCTGGGGTGACCCTGGGCAGCAAAGAGGCAGGGTCAGACCCCCTGGGAATCCCTGTTGAGGACTGGCCCCGTGTGCAGGGGGGCACTCCCACTGAGGACACAGTGCCAAGGGCCCGGTGCTGGGCTCACACTTCCTACCTCCATCCGTTCACACAAGAATTTGGTAAAAAAAACCTTCACTTTGGTAGTCGGGAGAGCCACCTAACACAGCGCTCCTGCCAATGGCCGTGGTGCCCAGGGCTGGCAGAGGGAGGACCTGCACTCGAGTCAGACCCCAGCTAACACGCTTCACCACAGCCTGTCATCCAGAGCCGAGGTTACCAGGAGTGGAGGGCAGCAGGCTCTGCACACACACACACACTTGGGGTGGCCTTTCAGGTGGTGGGGGGCAGAGCCCCAACACGCACCGATGGCCCAACGTGGGCCACACGGGAGCTACACGCACCCGGCACTGAGCCTGACCCCGCCCTGCTCTCCCTTCAGTGGCCACAGGGCCCCACAGGGCAGGCCTCGACCTCGCGCAGCCGGCACCTCTCCGGGAGGGCCCAGCGGCCCGGCGCCTGCCCCACTGGAGGGAGAGGCCGGGCCACGCCCCGACCGCCAGCCCAGCAGGCTGGGCATCACACTCCAGGTCCACGTCCACACCCTCCACGCACTGTCCCCGGCCCGCGGCCACAGCAGCTCTGGAGGACGGATCAGAGCTTCGAATACTTACCGTTGCTCTCAAAAGGGAACAAATGACCCCTGTTGCTCAGTGTCCCAGCAGAACGCTGCAAGTGACAAGAAAAACCAGTATGAATACCATGGACGCGGACGCAGAACTCTCAACAGCACGAAGTCAGGGGTAGCGCGATGATCTCATCCCTGCGGGTCAGTTGTTTTTCCCCAACACTGCATTTTTTGGCAATGAAAAGGAAAAGCATGGACCCCAGCATACATCTTTTTCTTAATCAAGATTCTTTTTTTTTTAAGATTTTTTATTTATTTGACAGAGAAAGACACAGCCAAGAGAGGGAACACAAGCAAGGAGAGTGGGAGAGGGAGAAGCAGGCCTCCCGCTGAGCAGGGAGCCGGATGTGGGGCTCGATCCCAGGACCCTGTCGCTTAATGATCCCAGTCGCTTAATGACTGAGCCACACAGGTGCCCCTTAATCAAGATGCTTAAAAGCCGAACAACACTCAGCTGAGGGAAGGCAATCGGAAGCCGCGAGCACACCACCATGGGCTCCTGCCCAGGCAGCCCTCCCCGCAGCCAGCCAGGGCCGCCCTCACAGCCTCCCCACTCAGGCCTCTCCTGCACGGACCAGCCCCCCGGCCAGGCCCCCTGAGGGCTGCTCGGGGTCTCCGCTGCGATCTGCCCCCACGGCGCCTGAGGGGCAGCCTGGCGAGCTGGGACTGCTCGCCTGTGTCTGCTTTTCCGGGCTCCCCCTGCCCAGCCCCAGGGGCGCCATCATCCAGCTGGGTCTCTGGGGCAAGCCCCCGGTGCTGTGGGGACACAGAACCATCCTGTGGGGTCTGGGAGCCATCGCTGCTCAATTGTCTCTGCCTTCCCACCTCCACCAGCGACCCCAACCCCCCCCAGGCCTTCCCAGTGCCCACAGCACCCCCATAGCACCCCCCAAAGCCCTCCCAGTGCCCACAGCGACCCCACAGCACTCCCCCAGCCCTCCCAGTGCCCCCATCCCCCATGTCCCCCACTCCCGGGCCGGGTTGGCCAGCCGCTGTCCCCCAGGTGAGCACCAGGAGCAAGCACCTTCCCAGGGCCGTCGTCCCCACACAGCAGGAAACCTGAACAGAAGCACTGTCCATCAAGGAAGAGCTCCAGTGGCTCCACACAGGAGGCCCAGTTCCAGCTCAGCGTGAAGGCCCACGGCGGCCACGTGGGGCAGCAGAGGACGTGGCTTTTGTGGACAGCGCCTGTGTTGGGGAGTGGAGCAGGGCTAGCCCCGGGCCTCTCTGTGGGCCTCCACGTCCAGAACGGGCCTGTACAGCCCGCCTCGTGCTGAGGAGCCCTGACCAGACGAGGCCACCTCTGAACATGCCCTGGGATACCAGGGGGTGCTAAGACCACAGGCTGGCACCAAGGCCGGCCCGGCCCCACCACACCCGCCATGATGCCACCCACCAGAGCCGAGGGACGGCCCGTGCAGCACGCGGCCTGCAGTCCACTCCCCTGAGCATCCTTGATGGGGGCAGGCCGGCTGCTCTGTGTAAGCCTCGGTCTCCCCATCTGGGGCTGGAGTGAGAGTGGGACGCACATGCAGGGCGGCCCCTGGGCAACGAAATCCACCGACTGACGGTGGACAAAGGGCAGCCATTTCCAGAAAGGGCGCTGGGTCAACCACACATTCGTGCAAAAAAAAAAAAAAGAAAGAAAGAAAACCCACTCTTGGCCTGGTCTCATCCCACACACAAGACTCAGCTCCAGGGAGAGTGTAGTCTTCAAGCTAAAGTAAAACAGATGCTTGTAGAAGAAAACAGGAGAATAACTTCAAGACTCAGGGTAGCAAAGATTTCTTAAGCGAGATACAAAAACACACTAACTTACAAGGGTGCTTCCGTCTATGTTGAAATTAGAATTTATGTTCACTGAAAGTCACCCGTGACAAGGCAAACCATAAGACAGGAGAAAATATTTGCAAAATATTTTCAAGTCAAAAAAGACTCATAGCAGGATGTATCAACAACTTCCTACAGATCAGTAAAAAAAAGGCACACAACCCGACAGAAAAATGGCCAAAGGCCTAAGTCACTCACAACTGGCCACTGGGCAGCACAAGAGGCACAATCTCCCTCGTCATCGGGGAGAGTGGTCAGAGCCTGGGAAGAGCCCAAACGTCCATGGGAGGAAGACAGAGACCGCCCCGCAGAGGAAAGGAAGGAAGGAAGGAAGCGCCAACCACCACGGACCCGGTGAGTCCCTCAAGAGTTCCCGCCAGGGAAAGAAGCCAGACTCCAAAGTACAAGCTGCCGCGCTCCCGGGACGAGCCAGGACAGGCCAGGCCGCGTGGGGCCCTGAGAAGGCCAGAACCTGTCTGGGTAGTGACAGCCTTACCAGTGTGCACCACCTGCAAAACCCATCCAGCCGAACTCATCAAACCCAACCTGCCCATTCCACTGCGTGCAACGTCTACCTCACTAAAAAAGTGTGTTTTCAACAAAAGGCTTTTAAAAGCCACACTCCCCACCCTCCAAGCCTGTACCTGCTGGACACACGGCCCCCCGACAGCCCACACCACAGCGAGCGGTGCTGAACCTCCTGCCTGTCCACCCCCACCACACCCCCAGCTCGCGACCCTCCTCCTCAGCCCCCCACCCCACCGCAGCGCCGTGGAGTGGGCCTGCTACCCTGACCTGCTCTGGGCCTGCCCTCACGAGAACCGAAGCCCAGGCACCTGCTCCCACGGGCCTGCCGCCCACCAAGGGTCCAGGCCTGGCTGCCCTATGTCAACTCTCAACACCCACGCTGCCTTCTTGTTCTACCTTCCACCAGCACAGGCTAGGGGCTCCCTAGGCTGCCTGCTTGCAGAGAAACCACACTCCCACCTGACATCTGGAGCCACTCCCACGTTCACTGAACAACCTCGACAGGTTCTGTTGGATCCTGCCGGCATTTCGGCAGTCACGCAGTCACTCCTGCCCACCCCCCTGCTTGCACATCCTCCTCCCCTGAGGCCCCAAGACCCCCCCCTCCTCTGCAGTGCACAGCCCCCACCACACCTCCTCTCCTCTCTGCCGCCCCTGCAGCTCCACACAGCCCCCACCTGCGGTCCCAGGGCTGGCTGCGTCTATCTTCCCAGGAGAACACAAGCCCCTCGGGAAGGGCAGCACATGGTGATGCCGCGGCCTCAGGTTGTAAACGAATGAACCAGAGAAGCTACAGCTCACTTGAGAACTGTAGGGTCAGCTTGCCAAGTTCCACAAATACCGTAGTGGGATTTTTATCAGAACTGCAACAAGCCTTCAGCGGGTGAATGGTACGCCCTTACGTGAGTGCAACCACGAAACCGCCCGGATGCATCTCCAGGGCATCGTGAGGAGCAAAGAAGGCCCCTCCCCAAAGGTCATGGACTTCGCACAGATCATCCTTGAAATGACAAATCACGGAGATGGGAGAGCTTGGTTGGAGGGAACGCGGTGTGGCCACAGAGGGTCCACGTGGGGGACGGCTGACACTTGGGTTACTGAGTTCACTCTCTATCTGAGCTGCCCCACACGACAGTCAGCAGCTACTGAAATTTAAACTTCAATTATATAAAATACAAATTCAGCTCCCCGACACCCCAGCCACATCTCAGGGCCCAATAAACACGTGCTTTAAGGGGCCACGTACTTGGACAGCGGGGAGCATTCCCGTCACCACAGAATGTGCCCCCTGACGGAGCTGCCCCAGGTCCCCCACCCACACTCACTGGGGCAGCCGGCATTCGCCAATACGACCCAGTGCACCAGCTATGGAAAATACCAGAAGCCTGAAGACACGGGCCCGATTTCTCAAGGCGCTCACTGTCCTGTCTGGGCAGGGGAAGGGGCGGTGGGAACCGGACACAAACTCATGTGCTTCTAGGCCTTTTTGGTCACAGTTAGACCAGCCTACGTCCCCCAAGCCTCACAGAGGCAATGCAGGAAGAGCCGACCTCACCCCGCTGATCAGAAGAATGCACCTGAGGCCAGAGAAAAAGGACCATAAAATGAAGGAGCCAGCCCCACTGAATGGGGTGAGGACAGAGAGGACACAGGGTCGACCGGAACGTCCACGGAGAGGCACTAAGCATAGCATGGCCAGGCGCACAGAGCACTCCCCACATCTGGGCTGACGGAGCGACGGGACCCGGGGGACACTGACCCTCGAGACAAACGTCAGCTCTCTGGCTGACAGGGCAGAGACCCTCAAAAGGGATCAACCCCTCAGGACTGGATGAGGTGCCCTGTTGGGCCTCCCGCTCCCACCACCTGCGCCTGACCACGCGGCATGTGACAGTACTCGGGGAGGGATGCGTGAGCGACCAGAGGGGCACAAGGCTACAGAGACAAAGGCACCAAATGTTTAGTGATTTCCAATTTTATTTACATTTAACTATCTTGAATTTCAGTTTTAAAACTAATAATTCAATTTTTTGGAAAACTTCTCAGTGTGCTTAGAACAACTGGAGTATGTGAAATCTACGTTTTCAACTATAAATTTCATGAAATCTAAATACAGATCAGATATTTCTATAATGAAAATTGGTGTCCAAATTGAGATCTGCTTAAGTGTAAAGTACACACTAGGTTTCAAAGACTTTGTTTTTAAAAATGTAAACGTTTGACAAGGGTGCCAAGGACCACTCAAAGGGAAGGAAGAGTCTTTTCAACAGATGGTGCTGGGTCAACTGGGATCCACACACGAAAGAACAAAGTTGGGCCCCTACCTCACACCACACACTAAAAGTAGCTCGAAAGGGATCAAAGACCCAAATGTAAGAGCTAAAACTATAAAACTTTTAGAGGAAAACGTAAGAGTAAATCTTCATGGCCTTGGATTTGGCCAAGGATTCTTAGATATGACACTAAAAGCACAGAAGACAAAAGGCAAAAGAGATCGGCTGGACTTCGATAAAATAAAAGCTTTTGTGCTTCAAAGAACACCATTAAGAAAAACACCCACAGGACAGAAAAATGTTTTTTCAAATCACATATCCAATTAGGGATCAGACTATATAAAGAATTCTAACAACTCAAAAATAAAAAGACAGACAACCCAAATTTTCAATGGGCAAAGGACTTGAAGAGCTATTTCTTCAAAGAAGATTCACCGACGGCCGGCAGGCACGAGAAAAGCGCTTGACGTCAGCAGTCGAGAGGGAAGCTCAGCTCAAACCACAAGGAGAGAGCACCTCCTAGGGCGGCGAGACTCAAAACGAGGGACAACTGCAGGTGTTAAGGAGGAAGAGGAGCGATCAGGACGCTCCCGCCTGGCGGGATGTGCAATGGTGTCGCTGCTGTGGAGCAGAGCTCGGTTTCTCAGAAGGTTAAACGGAGTCACAATACGACCCACAGGTCCCACTGCTGCATGAACACGAAGAGAAACGAAGACGCCTGTCCAAGCAGAAACCCGCACACAAACACTTGGAGCAGCAGTACTGAAAACAGCGGACAAGCAGAAGCAACCCAGATGTCCACCGACAGACAAACGGCAGACAGAAGGCAGTCTATCCCACGGGGTCTGACCACGCCCAGTCCAGGAGAACTTCCTGGGATGAGGGGCAGCCATCTGCACTGCCCACTAGGGCGGCCACTGGCCACACCAAACACGGGGGCACCTGACGTGTGTCCAGTGCAAATGAAAAACAGCATTGTTCATTACGTTTAATTCTAATTAACTTTAACTTCAATTTAAAAAGCCACATGGAACTAGAGGCCGTCACACAGGGCACAGGGCGGTCTGCACAACACCCCCGGGACAGGGGACACCCGAGAAGACATCTGTAGAGACATATATGGAAATATTCCGAGGAAAACCGTCTAGAGCTCGCCGTGAGACAGCCGCAGGAGGGCCGTGGCTGAAGGCACAGACGGAACACGGGGCCAGGGGCTGACGGTGCCGACCTCAAGGTCTCTAACGCTCGCCTCCGACCTATGTTCAGATTTTGCCATGAAAATACTAACGTTAGTCGCCTTCGAAAACTTCAATTTCTATTCTTATACAACAAATTGGCTTTTTAAGCTGCTGACTCTTTCAGTGAACGTTACGAGTAGCGTGTGCTGAGACACGTGCAAGTACCTTCGGGGAGCCGGCTCACAGCTAAACCGCTGACCCCCAGGGACACAGCTGCCAAGTTCCCTCTGCAGAGCTGACCACACCGTCCTTACTATAAAGTGACACTGGAGAGCCACATAAACTAAAAGCCCAACATCAAATGGGTGACAGAGACGACAGAGACTTCTTGCTTGAAAAGAGAGGGCCATTTGTGCCTTCCGCTGCCTGTAAGTTACACCTCATTTTTAAAAGTGAACATAGAAACAGCAGGTTTCTATAAACAAAGCGTCTGCAGTCATGCAGCAGAAACCATGCAGATTCAGGGACAAGCCTCCCCGGGAAGTCGGCAAAATGCCTACCGGTAAGAGGAAATTCTCTTCCAAACATTACGTTGTAAATGCACACAAAGTAAATCTATTTGCGTCACAATGGGAAGAATCACAGGTAGGATGGGTCTTGCCAGGGTAGTCTGTCTAATGAACACCTTCGTGTGGGCTCCGCTGACCCACAGCATGCGCCCCGCCCCCGCGGCGCCCCCCGCCCCCCGGGCCACAGCTGGCCCCACCACACACACCAGAACCCTGCTTCCAACCGCAAAATGGCTCCTCGTAAAATTCAAGATGTAGATTTGGGGACAGGAAAGGTCTGTTCTCCCATTTCAGGAAGAAAAACCTACCATGTTAACAGGCCATCTTCTCAAAACCACGAGTCTTGACGAAACAAACAAATCACCCCCAACGGCAACAGAACGGAACACAGAACACGGAGCCCGCGGGCAGGGCCAGTGGGGGGAGGGAGGGCGGGCTGACCGTGTGCCCCCACTCCTGCGCGGGGTGCTCACAACGGTCCTTCTCTCTGTCCGAGGGGCGGCGTGTTCCCCAAACCTGCTAGGATCAGCCATGTCCGCTCCTCCGCGGGGGCCCTGCAGGCCCGATCCTTGGCCCGTCTCCCCAGCAAAGCCACACAGCCCCTGGCCACCAGCTCCCGGGCACACCTTCTGACGGGCATGTGGCCATCGGCGGCCACGCTGCGCCACAGCCCCAGTCTGGCTTAGTCTCCAGGAAGCGGTTTCCGCACTTGAGCACAAGCGAAGACGGGAACACGTGCATGGTGGCCGCTGGAATCCCATCAGGGCTCCGAGCTCGAGGCCAGACAGCAGCGCCCCACAAAGGCCCCGGGGCGCCCCTGACCCCCCTGGGCTGCGGACACGGGCCCACCTCCCGTCCCTGGCACTCTGTCTGCAGCGCTGAGCCTCAGAACCTCAAAACCAGCCGCTGTGACGGTGGGCCCGAGCCCAGAACAAAGGCCTGGAATCACAGCTTCCCGCTGCCTCTGGGAGGCCTGACTCGCAGCCGGGCTGCACCAGCGCGTCTCTGGGCGCCCGGCATCAGTGAGGGAGGCCAGAGACCTCCAAGCACCATGTGGGGCTCAGGAGGCCTCCAAGCACCATGTGGGGCCGCACACTCGGCCACCTCTGTCCAGACCTACAGTCGAACCAGGACAGTCCTGAAAGTCATGTTAACACGACCCTGAAAAACGGCTCCACCTACTCGAACTTCAAACCCAAGTGACAAAGCTATGGAGCCCACTCAGGACGGAGGCTGTCAGGGGGCCTGGTGCCAGCACGAGGGACATCAGGGTGGGGGCAGGCACCGCTTGCTCAGAGAGACGTTTAACAGGTATGAAGATCTGCATGCTGCGCACTTAGGACTGGCATACTTCTAGGAGTCGGCTGGACATTCATTAAAAGCTGGTGTTTTTTTCATGAGAAACCCATCATCAGGACGCTGAGGAGATGTGGGGGCTGCGCGTGCACAACACGGCCCCGGGACACAGCCCCCTCCAGCCTCCTCCCGCCACGTCCCCTCAGACCTTGGCCGCACATCCTCCATCCAGCTTGGGCAATCTCCCCCAGACCCTTGGCGGGGGACAGGGTCCTGTGTGTTGCTGCCGCGGCCAACTTCCCGGGCCAGCATCGTAGCTCTTGCGGGCAAGGTCATCCAGGCTCTGGTTCTGCAGCTTCTCAGTGATGAGTGTGACCATGGTCAGGCACCCGTGTCCTCAGTCTGTACCGATGGGCACTGGGGTTCAGAGCAGCAGGCTTCAGGAGGCCTGGGCCGCTGCTGGGTCAGAGCTGACCCTCAAGGTGGATTTCCGCTTTACAGATGAGTGATCCATTTCCAAGGACTCTTCAGAACTCTGCACCTGTGTTTGCGGGAAAGAGAAAGAAGTGATTACACGCAAAACCACTGGATCAGTGTTCCTGTTCTATGCTGAGTACTTTGTGTGCAGAATATTTGTTACCTCCGCCTGATGAAAACCCTCCTGCTTTACAACTACCGTATGAGCTCCCCGGGAAACTGTACTAGGAGTGGCATTCTGGTGGAAGGACGGAGGTTAAGTGCACACCTGAGATCCAGTCCTCCCAAAGCCCCGGTGGAAGCAGCAGAAAAGGCCACCCCACCCCCGCCCCGCAGTGGGCAGAGCAGACAGGAGGAGAGACATGGGGAAGCTGGACAGTGGCAGGAAGCCACATCCTACACCCGAGGAACAGCTGGTTGAGAACTACTGAACCCCCATGCACCACTGTCCCCCCTGCAGCGTTACACACCCCTCCCCACTCTGTCCAGCTGACCCCGCGTGGGAGGCACAGGGGGTGCAGAGCCCGGCCCCAGGCCCCTGGGTGGGGGTTGCAGGGGCAGCTCAGTGGGGGCACAGGGCCCTCCATTCCCAGGAGTGGGCGCTCACGCTGCACCTGGGACCTGGCTGCCCACAGATACCAGCAAGGGGAGGGCCCTGAGCCCCCGTGTAGCCCACCACCCACCCGCCATCCCCAGCTTCCACCTTCTTAGCAGCCCGCTGCCGAGCGCAAGCAGGGCCACCTGCCTCAGAAGCCATGAGAGCGCCGACCAGACAGGAGGGCCCCAGCCACCCAGAGGAAACAGCATCGGTCCTGCCCTCAAATGGAGAAGGCGCCCGGTCCACAAAATAAGATCAGAATATCCTTAAAAATAAGTATTTAGGGGCACCTGGGTGGCTCAGTCGTTAAGCGTCTGCCTTCGGCTCAGGTCATGATCCCAGGGTCCTGGGATCGAGCCCCATGTCGGGATCCCTACTCAGCATGGAGTCTGCTTCTCCCTCTGTCCCTCACCCTGCCTGTGCTCTCTTGCTCTCACTCTCTCTCAAATAAATAAATAAAATCTTAAAAAAAAAAAAAAAGGAAGCATTTAAAGAAAAACGAAAAGAGCTCTCAGAAATTAAAAAATGAGAGCAGTGACAGACCCTCCAGAATGTCGAGTTCGGGCCCCTAACCCGTAGCAGGCTTTGAGGCCCCCCTTCCCAGAGGCCTCCTCGGGCCCAGCAGACCATGCACAAGGCAGAGGCCCCACCCCAACCCCACTGAGTCACGCCCCAGGGCAGCATCCCTTAGGATGTCTGCACGAGCAACACCTCCCACACGGTGCCGGCAGCCCCCATCACGGCCAGAAGTGCAAGGAGCACGCAGCTTTACGGAAACTGCCGGCAGAATGCACCGGCGGACCCCAGCAGAAAGCCTTTCTACAGACGCTGCCAGAGACCAGCGAGACTCACACCCTCCTGCACCCCTGCATACACACACATGCACTCTCCACGGGAGTGAACAGACACTGCCCTAACAGTGCCCAATGAGATCCCCCCACACACCAGTCAGAATAGCTAAAATTAACAAGTCCGGAGACTACAGATGTTGGCGAGGATGCGGAGAAAGGGGAACCCTCCTACACTGTTGATGGGAATGCAAGCTTGTGCAGCCACTCTGGAAGAGTATGGAGGTTCTCAAAAAGTTGAAGATAGAGCTACCCTACGACCCAGCAATTGCACTACTGGGTATTTACCCCAAAGATACAAACGTAGTGATCCGAAGGGGTACGTGCACCCCGATGTTTATAGCGGCAATGTCCACAATAGCCAAACTGTGGAAAGAGCCAAGATGTCCATCGACAGATGAATGGATAAAGAAGATGTGGTATATATATATACAATGGAATATTATGCAGCCATCAAAAAAATGAAATCTTGCCATTTGTAACGACGTGGATGGAACTAGAGAGTATTATGCTGAGCGAAATAAGTCAATCAGAGAAAGACAATATGATCTCACTAATATGTGGAATTTAAGAAACAAAACAGAGGATTATAGGGGAAGAGAGGAAAAATGAAAAAAGACAAAACCAGAGAGGGAGACAAACCATGAGAGACTCCAGGGGCACCTGGGTGGCTCAGTTGGTTAAGCCTCTGCCTTCGGCTCAGGTCATGATCCCAGGGTCCTGGGACTGAGTCCTGCATGGGGCTCCTTGAGCGGGGAGTCTGCTTCTCCCTCTCCCTCTCCCACTCCCCCTACTTGTGCTCACGCTCGCTCTGTCAAATAAGTAAAATCTTTAAAAAAAAAAAAAAGAGAGGGGTGGCTGGATGGCTCAGTCATTAGGCGTCTGCCTTCGGCTCAGGTCGTGATCTCAGGGTCCTGGGATCGAGCCCCACATCGGGCTCCCTGCTCAGCAGAAAGGCTGCTTCTCCCTCTCCCACTCCCCCTGCTTGTGTTCCCTCTCTCGCTGTGTCTCTGTCAAATAAATAAAATCTTT